TGAGGTCTTGAAAGGCGTCATTATATTGGTTACAGATGTGGGCTTTATGATGTCAGGCATAGGCTGAGTGAGTGACAGCAGGTGACTTGAGAGGTCCTTCTGAGTGGTAGGGGGAAGCCAGCCTGAAGTCAGCACAGTGAAAAGGGACCTCACTGCCCCGTGGGAGGACTCAGGACTGGTCCTACTCAGTAGTCAGGAAGAAGGAGAACAAATGGAAAGCCACACAATTACTGGGCTTGAGAATTCAATCCTGGCTGCTCTTTAGGGCACCTAGTTCTTTCAAAGTAGTCAGATTCATGGCTTCTGAGAATATGATTATACCTATGGACTCCTCTCTTAAAGAAGATGCACTAACCCACATACACTCCAAATATGGCTTACAATCTCCAAGGGTCCTTGGATTCACTGCGGTTTCTGAGTGTCACATCCAGGGAGTGAGAAGAACAAAGAGGAGGGGAGGACAGAATGAAGATAGGAAGCTTAACCAGCCAAAAGGAGGTGTAACGCGCCAAAAGGTGGCAGGAAGACCCCAGTCCTTTGCTGTTTGCTTGGAGGTGGGTCTTGATGGAGAAACAGAGCTCAGTGTAACACCAGGAAGCCCACCCTGCATCCAGCACACTGATACATCTCCAAGCGCAGCAGTGCGGGAGGAAGGGGTGGAGAGGGCTGCCCTTTTTCTCTCTCTGAAAACAAAACAAAACTAAACCCAATTAACTGAGGGCCCAGTCCTGTTATCTCAGCTGGTCTCTTGCCTATCATTTTCCCAGCTCGTCCTCCTAGACCCAGCTCCCAGTTTGCCTAAGTGATGACTGTCATCCTTGGGGGAGAGTGAGAGGATCTTCCAGCTGACCTCTGGTAAACAAAGCCCTTTACATTGCAGAATGAATTCCCTAAACCGTAAAAAAATAAAAAGAAAAGAACTCCCAAATATATTCTGCAGGGAAAAAGGAAATTTCCTTTTGCGAATAATCTGGAAAAAGTGCTGACTATAGATAAGGAGAATGAATTTCTCTCCTGCCTGCCTCTAGCCATGTAAATAGGAGTCCAAGCTGCCAAAGCTTCCAAAAGCAGGTAACTTCATCAGCAAGCGGGCTTCCTATGGCTTAGAGACTGGTAGGAGCCAGTGTGAGTCCCACAGGAAGAGTCGGGCTGTTAGAAGTAAGGTTCCCAGTCAAGTTGCCAGGAATACCACAACACTACCTGGAGAAAAAGGAGCAGGACTCTGACCTGGGTGGTGACGGCCCAGGCAGAGAGAGACACACAGAGAAGGAGCAGTGGCCTCTGCCCCTGCCGAGAGCCTTCAAGTGTGTGCCACAGCCCTGTTCTGATATGAATTCTGACCCTGCAGATCTCCTTCCTGAGGCCTGAACCCTGTGAGAAGTGTTCTCAGAATCCAGTGAGGACACAAGAGTAGCCAATTTCAACTCCACTTTTTTTTTTTTTTTTTTTTTTGGCTGTTAACAATTTTATGGACACTGCCATAGTGTATTTTTAAAAGGTTTTTCTTTATAAGACATTTCCTCCTTCTTCCCATTTATTATATATGTAGATCACAATGTTATGATTGGGAAGCTGGATTGCGAAATCCAGAATGAAGACAAAGATTCTACATCTTGTGGTATGGCAGTAAAACAGGTCAGGATTTTAGGACTCAAGTGATCCCATTTAGGAGCCAGAAGAACAACAAAGCTGCTCTTTGAGATGCCTTATTTGGACAGTAGTTTTTGACATGTCACTGATAGTTATTAACCAGGCATTTCAAGGACAAGAAACTGTTTTCCCAAAACTACCTTTTCAGACATTTCTAGGCAGGTACCAAATAAAAGAATTCACGGTGGATGGAAAGTCTCAAGATAGGGTTCTGCCCTGGCTTGAACTCCTGTAGGCTTGGACTTCCAGCGGGGTGGGAGCCTCGTGTAGGCTGCTCTTCCTGTCCAAAGGGCCTTGGTTTTCTCATCTGTATTATGAGTGTGTTGGAGCAGGGGATGTAGCTCAGTGGTAAAGGGATTACCTACTATGCATTCTACCCCCTGCTCCACAAAAACAAAATGATTTAAAAAACAATAATGAGGGTGTTAGTTTAAACCTTCCCACGGCTCATTTTATCCTGTTTTGACTTCTGTGCCTCTTGTGGAGAGAAGAGTCAGAAATGCACATTTCCTGCATTTCTTTAGGACAAATCCCAAGCCTCACTGCTAGGCCTTGCCCCTTCCTGAGACGACCTGACAGGGCTGTTTTCTCCCACATCTCCTGCTTCTCCCTGCTGTCTCGATTCTCTGTTGCTTCCAGCAGAGGCAGCCCTGTCCCCTTTACCCGAGCCTTGGCCGACTCACCTTGGAAGGATGGCTGCCCACACTCTGCCCTCCTCAAGTCCGGGTCCCCCTCTGGGTCTGTGCTCCGGCACTCACGCTTGTTACTATGGCTTGTAAATGGCTTGTCATTTTCCTATGGGTGTGTCCTTCTCCTGCCTGGTGCCCTGGTGCCCAGGCTTCCCCGCCCACAAGGCTCTGGGTGGGGGTCAGGCCTGGGAGGGGAGGAGAAAGTAACCCACCCCTCCTCCTGGTGGGGCACAGGAAGAGGCTGTAAACAAGCCTGCCACTTTTTTTTCCTGTCTTGTTTTTGCAAAAACAGCTTGACACCCATCCACTGAATGCCTCGGTAAGGACAGGGACAGCTGTGGTAGTTCCATTCAGGTCTGTGGGGGCTGAGAGACGGGACTGTGTGTGGTGACAGTGGTGGTCACAACCTACCGTCCACGGTGACTTGGCAGGAACACTCTGCCTGGCCAGCGCTGTTCTTTGCTACGCACTTGTACAGGCCCTTGTCCTCGGGCAGAGCCTTCTGGATGGAGACAGAGCACAGTGAGCCTGGAGGAAGAAGAAAGAGCTGTTGAGTGGACCCGTGCCGGCACCTGGAGTGTGAGAGGTGGGGGTCTGCACACAGCAGGGCAGAGGCCTGGTGCAAAGCAACTCCCCTTCCTAGTGGAAGCCACGGGACTCTGCTGACATCCTGCACCCAACAGAGCTGCTGCTTCAGTATGAGCCTCTGGGTCCCTCTCCTCCTCCAGACAGCCCTCCCCTGGTGACCTGATGCAGAAGCAGGGAGAGAAATAGCCTCTGACCCCAACACAGAGAGGGAACAAGTGGACACTCCCCGCACTGCAAGAGGGACGAGGAACCAGACACAGGTTACAGATCTGCCAGAGACAGGCTGGGGACAGCCTCTGCCAAGCCCAAGGCCGTACTCTGAGGAGAGCTCTTAGACTGCGACCAGGGTTGTGGGGCTGGCTTTGTAAGGAATAGGGTTTGAGCTGAAGAACGGTGGCCAATGCATGGCACTGGGCGGAGGCACTCAGGGCTGCCTCCCATGGGGTCGGGTCTCTGGTCACTCCTAGCTGGGCAGTGATGGCCTCCTTTCCCTACCGCCCTCGCCTGTGTCTGCTCTCACTTCCAACAACCCTATCCCGGCCTGGCTGGGCCAGGGGAGTCATGCTAGAATAAACAGGAATCGGGGGTCTGGCCTTGCCCACCCAGCTTTTGTCCAGGGCTGGCCATTTCTCCTCAGGGGCCCCTCCTGTGTTTCCCTCATGGAGTGGGTGGGAAGAGGCAGGCTAAGGACGGGGCCTGATGGGCCAGGCAGGGGCAAGAGTATCCTGGTGCCTGCCTTCCAACACACAGACAAGCCAGCGGCACGCTGTCCTGCGAAGGCTGCCTGCTATCTGAGCAGCACCCATCATATGAGGGGAGGACAGAGCCAGAGCCACTGGCCCCGGACAGCAGAGCTGTGTGCACCCTTGGGTGTTATGTACGGGGTAAGGGGAGTAAGACCAAAAAGGAGTGAGGCCAGAGGGCACTGTGCCCATCGGGGTCTTCTGATCTGAAAAGAACACTCATTCCTGGTCTCTTCTCCTTTTTAGATGGACACAGACCTGACTAACACATGTAAGGATACCAGAAGGAGGAAGAATGGCATCAGTCTGAGTTGGAGAATCTCACTCAGGCTGAGGGAGAAATTAAAGGCATGATATTTTCCTGGGGCAGAATTACTGATCTTATAACCTTCAACAGACCCTACCCTTTGGAAGGCCTCACCTGGGGACGGTGAACATATCTCTCATGGTCATTCCTTTTCCTGAAGGACAATGGGCCAAGGTCTCTTCCCACTGAGATTAGGAGACAATTTGCAGGAACTGTTGCCGAAAGGATTTAGGTTGGATCTTTAGAAAGTCTGGCACGAGAGCTAGAACCAGGAGGTGCAGAAATAATGGAACGAGGGTAACTGCATCCTAGGGAGAAATTTCCACTCATCTGGGCAGGCAGGAGGAGGCTAAGATGCTCTCTGGTCCCAGAGTCCAGGCCTAGAGGAAACTGACCCCACCTTGCAATTTTCTCTCTTGTCTGGGTGGGACTAAGGCTCCAGGAACAGATATCCCACCCCCGAAGTACATCCTGTTCAAATCCTCGGTTTCCTTTCAGTTTCGGTCCCTTGGCTGCTTTGACCTTAAGCCAAAAGATCACACACTGCAGAGAGTGACAGGAGAGGAGGGCAGTGGCCCGCTGGGTGGGCCCCGCCTTCTGACCCACAGCTCTACCCCCTAACTGGACTGGCCAGGCCACGTGCGAGGGCAGGGGCAGGGGCAGGGGAAGGGCTGGGGGACTGGGAGGCTGGCTCCCCCAGATGAAGAATCTGGTATTTCCTGTGGGACCGCTCATTCCTGACCTCCACAAGAAAACTGTTTCCCAGAGGTTTTTTTGCGCAGCCTCAGCCTGGTGGGGCTGAGCGGATGGGACTGAGGGGGATGGGAGAGGTCAGCAGTAGACTCAGCTCCTCCCAGCCCGCGAGTAAAAGCTCTGCATCTGAAGGTCTCCCAACTCTCCTTCCTGAGTGGGTGGGCAGAGGGAGGAGGGGATGAGCAGGAAGCATGGAGCTATCTGAAAGTCTGGCCGCCCAGCTCGGAGGCTCCTTCAGCCGGCAGGGCCTCCCTGGCCTGGCCCACCTGGCAGGCTCAGACCAACAGGGAGACTCACCTCCAGACAACCATCTCAGGCACAGTGCCCTCCAGGTCACCTCTAAGCCTCCGGCCCTAGCTGTACCTCTTCAGTGCTCCCATGGTATCCCAAGCTCATTGTTACCAAGGTGTGTCTCTCAAGGTCATTGCTGAAATACATGCCCATTTCCCACACTAGCTCTGGGGGCAGTGACCACATCTATCACGAGTTCTCTTCCTGAGTATGGAATGCAATCACAGTAAAAATATTTGTCATTCTGAGAATGACAAAGACACATTTCTGCAGTGGGTGATCTGGCAAGATCTATGCAAGCAAAGATCATGAGCACACAGTATAACCTACTGTTTAAAAAGATAAGTTTTTAAGAGAAGGAAAAGTCCTAATTCAGAGGTCTTTAAGTGGATGATACATTCAAGGGAAGAGACTAGCATAACGCCTTGCACATAGTAGGTGTTACAGAACTCTACTTCTTGTAGAATGAACTTATATAAGTTTGAAAAGCCTTCCCAAGATTCCTCCCTGAAGGGAATTATAAATGAATCATCTCTTTACAACAGCAACAACAATAAATCCTCATAATTAGACTGGGAGAAATTCTTGGCTGGAGGAAGCCAGGCCGGAGCACAAAGCAAAGCATAAAGGTAAAATCATATCTCAGGGTCACCTCAGTCCTGCCCTGGGCTCATGCAGCCATTGCCTCTGACCCTGAAGCCAAGACAGGTGTAGAAAAGGTGACCCAGTGCCTGTCCTGGAGCCAGCTCAGTTGGTGTCACCCTGAACTCCACCAGCTGGCAGCTCTAGGGTAGAGAGAGAGGAAGGGTGCTTCCAGGTGTGTGTCCCTCTGTGGGTGACTGGTCACCTCCAACTGACAGTAGTCACAACTCTTCTCTTCAGTGCTAACAGATGCAGGTTCTGAGGCTCATCCATGCTACAGACATCAGACAAGCTGCCAAAACTATACAGCCTGCCTGACAGTGGTTGCATGCAGACGTGTATGGCTGGGCAGAGAGGAAGGTACAGGCCTCTGGCTGAAGTGATGACAGTGGTCTGGGAAGGCATCCTGGAGCAAATGAAGCTTGGTGGTAGAGGAGAGGACAGGATGGGGGTCAGCGCAGTGGGGCAAGGAGGGATCCACATCAGCGATGCGGGCAGGGAGGTTCTGAGCGGGTGGGAAGGACAATCAGACAGACAATGCCAATCCCTCCTTCTTCCCCTATGACCACCTCAAACCCCAAGCTTCCCTATTTCTACCGACACCATCCCTGTGGCCCAGACGCCCACACCCAGTGGTCTGCACCACTTCTTCCTCTCCTAGCCCCCCCTTTCCACACCTGGAAGCTGAGGTTCTCTTCTGGCCTTGTTTCTCCCCTGGCTGGCTCTTTGCAATGGCCTCACCTACCCTGCTAGTCCAGGCCTCACCACCTTTCCCCCAACCTTTGCAGCAGGCACCACGCTTGCCTTTTGGGCAGACAAAGCATCTAAACCCAGCTTTGCACACAGTGCTCCTTACTCCAAGATCTTGCATGGCTCCCCATTGCTTTTACACTCAAGTTTCTTGGTGAGATGCAGGACGACATTAGGACCAAGCCCTTCTCCTCAACACAGATGGGCTATGCACAGCTCACAGCCACCTGCTGCATGGAAAGCCGCCTTCTGTACACTTTCCTGTTGCTTAAGCCTGGCCTGCCTTCCAAGCTCAGATGGAGGCAGAGCTTGCCCACCAGCCTTTCCCAGAACTTAGCTTCCCTCTTCCTGCTCCAAGAAGCTCCTCCTGCCACTCTCAGGGCACTCAGCAGTAGTTTTATCACTGTGAGCTTGTGTCCTCTGTCCAGATCAGTACCTTCTGCTCTGCTCCCTGCAGGGGACCTGTTCCAGGCAGGAGAAGCTGCTGAAGGAGCAACCAATAGGCATTAAGATGCACTTTCTCCTTGACAAAATACACACAACACAGGCTCTTAAAGACTTGGCAAGTGTAGGAAGAGAAGACTGGACCAAAATTTTGAAATAAGGCACTTTTCCCTCGACTGTGTAAAAAATGGGCCGGTTTCAAGGTCTACCCTCCTTCAGGGAAAATACCAGAAATGTGGCAAGCCCAGAGCACACCAACTGCCTTTCAACATTTTGGTTGGACATGGGAACTCATTCATCTGCGTTCCAGTACCAGCTCTGCTATTTATGAATTGTGCGGCCTCAGACAAGGTACTTGTCTATTAGAGGGACGTTAGAGTGGTCACAGGAGGATTAAGTGAATGGAAAACGTTAGATGCCCTGGACAGTGTCTGGCACATGCTATTCAATAGATACAAACTTTCTTATTTTAAAATGAAATTTAAAATATTTATAACATCACTTAAAGTCTGCCTTGGGACTGTATCTAATCCCCCACCCCAGTCTCTCTCTTGTGCTAGCCCTCTTTAATCAAGTCTGGTGCTGCTACTTTGGCCCTAACTATTCCCCTTGGGACAGTTTTCGTGGGAGGCAATGCTGGAGTAGCTGGCATCACTATGCCCTTTAATACCTGGTGGCCAGAGTATAAACCTACTTGAGAAACCAGTGGCTAACAGCCCACGAGTAACTTTAGGGATCCTCCTGTCCCATCAGAACCTCTTTTTCTGAGGCTGGTGCATCATGGACCTCACAAGTCCCTAAACATGTCCCAAAGGTGCCAACTGCCCAACCTCCACCCTCCGAAAGGTCACCCTAGCGAAAGGTGACCTGGGAAATACTCCTGGCCAAAGATTCCAATCAGTTTGAACAAGGATTCAGAGGCATTCAAGGAAGGCAGAGGCATCCATGGCCCTGGACATTTCAGCCACCTAGTGATTCCCCAGGACCACCTGTGTGTGGACATTGCCAGACAGAGCAAGCAGAAGCAGAGGGATGAAGATGATGTCCTATGGACGACCTTCCCAGACTGGGAATGCCCATATGGAAAAGTTGCCAGTGTCAACACATTTGCAAAAAGTAAGTTTTCTCTCTGCTCAGAGAATTCTCCAATTTCCCTCAGCATTTAGATTCCACATGCTGGGGGCCGGGGATATAGCTCAGCTGCACAAGTGCCTGCCTGGCAAGTGCAAGGTCCTGAGTTTGATTCCTGGTACCAAAAAAAAAAAAAAAAAAAAAAAAAAAAAAAAAAAAATAGATTCCACAGGCTTGGCCATTCCAGACTTGCTGTCCGAGATGCAGAGTGAACTGTGGACAGGGTCATGACTATCTCTAAGTGCCTCCTTCCATGTTTGCAGATTAAGGAGATGCGATGAGGGGCAGGAAGGGAGTGAAGAAGGCTGTGACCAGAGATGGCCCGAGGGAGAGGGGAGGAACAGCTCTGGCATCTGAGCTGATAGGCATGTGTGGGGACCTGTCCCCTTGGCCTGCGCAGTGGCCACCTTCTGCCACTCAAGGGCAACTGGCACTGCCTGGGGAGCTTCTTTGTGCCCTGCTCTTGCTAGAGCCTCTGGTGCCAGCTTCTGGCTCAGGCAAGGGTCCATCTCTCAAAGGCCCCAGAGTGGGATGTGTGGTGTCTGCTGGCCTCGGAGCTCTCATCCACACTTGGGATTTACAAGAACACTTCCAGCCAACTTGAGGGCCAGGATAGGGACCTCCTCTCAGCCCCTCTCTTTCCCAGGTACGAACTGGCCCATGTGAGAACTCTAGACCCCAAAAGGCCACAGAGAGCAGGATTTAACCCCAACCCCACCCAAGAATGTGAAATAGCAGCAAACAGAAGTCTCATCCAAATTAGGAAGCGAGCAGCTCTGTCTGCTCTATGTGCAGTCGGGGCTGCTTTGGGTTTCTGCCTTCCCCCATAGGACCCTTCAAATCCACGCTGTGCTAAAGATTAAGTTGTCCATGACCCCAACTCACAGTCCCGTGGCACCCTGTCACTGTACACCCTTCCCCAAACCCAAATTGCTTCTGCTTTCACAGCTCTTGGCTCCAAGCCCCTGGCAGCCTCCAGCCCATATCCCCATTTCCCAGCCTGCAGGCAGAGGCCTCCTCACGCAGCGGAGGCCAAGCACCAGCTCCAGCCCAGGTCTACTCCGGGGAGCTCTGGGCAGGGAACGACTAGAGGGTCCTGCCAGACAGTCATGAAGACACAGGCATGTGCCAAAGGATCAGACTCCAAACCCTCACTCCCAGCAAGGGCATGTACCCAAGGCCCCGAGAGGGAAGGCATCCTGTAAGTGAGGGCACAGGGGCCCGACATTCGAACTCAGGCTATGGGTTGCAAGTGGCCATCAACCAGACCACAGCTCCATGAGCTCACAGTGGCCCTGATTCCCACCCTCATTTACCTTCTTGAGAGAGGATGATGAACTTGGTGGTCTTGAGTGTCTTTCCATTCAGTGTCCAAGTGACAGTGGCCGGAGGGTCAGAGGACACCTGGCACTGGAGTAGCAGTTTTTCACCCTCTGCCACACGGACATCTTGTAGCTTCTCTGTGAAGGTTGGGGCCGTCTCTTGGCTCTCTGGTCTTTTCTCATAATCTGTGGCTCCTGCATGCCCTCTCTTGTAGTTCACATCATTCTTAACTTCCTTCTTGAGTTCTTCTTTCCCGGATGGTTTCAAGGTCTCAGCTGGCTTGGTGTTGCCCACGGGTTTCAGGGTCTCAGCAGGCTTGGCATTGCCCATGGGTTTCAGGGTCTCGGCAGGCTTGGCATTGCCCATGGGTTTCAGGGTCTCGGCAGGCTTGGCATTGCC